ATCTAAACAAAACCTTCACTCATCATACCAATTTCTTTCGCCATTGCAAAAAGCTTCGAACCCAGTGAAGTCGGCATATGCACAATAAAAACCCTAGACTGCATATTCATCAATTTCAATAGCTCAGATTTGATCTCATATAAAGTGGAAAATTCAGAAATTACACTTCGATAAGGTATACGAGTGTTGATTTTGCCAATGCGTCTGCTAAAAAAAGGATTAATCCTTCTCCAAATTGATTGTCGATGTAAATTGGTACAATTTGACGCCATCCGAATGATTGGATAATTGAACTGATTGGTTTTACTTGAGATGAATCGTTATGAGTGGTACGAACAAAATATTGATTGCTGAATGATGAAAGAGATGGACTCGTTGCAGAGAAGGAGATGATCGGTACTTGTGTTTTTTGGCCTAAATTAATGAAAAAATTAGCTTGCATTGATAAAATTGGACCTATTATGGCTTCCACTTCAAGATTCTTCAGTAGGACAAGTGCTGCATGAGTAAATTACCATAGACACATGAGACAACATTTAAACAAAGGTTGGTTTGGTACCAGAGATAAAGAGATAATTAATATTAATCTTAGTTATATTAATTTTGGAATAGATTATTCCTGGTGTGGATGAAAATGATTCTGGACTCGGTAGGTTGAAGGTTCTAAGTCTCTTAGAAAGTAAATTAGAACACTATTGATCCTTTGATTAAAGTGGAGTAGGGGTAAAATGTAGTTGGTTAGTTAGAGTTATGAATGTATTATAGAGTAGTTGGAACTAGTTTGGAAGTGAATTATGTAGATATTAAATTCTGCATAAGTAATACCATGTTTGATAGCTGGTTAGGAGATAAATTTATTCATATACAAAAATAATATGGTATATGGTTTGAAATTTAAAAATTCACATAACTAGTACATGTATAAATTATCAGGGAAGGTATATATAAATTATTTTATGCAAGATAGAAGGTGGAATAATTAATACATGAATGATTAAATGTTACATAATTAATCTCTGCATAAAATAATTAATACATAGATTTTCTCATATAACCAATCCCTAATTACTAGAGCATGCGTAACTCTAATCTACTACCATACAACCCCTAATAATACATGAATTAGTTATTACAAAATCTATGAATTATTTTATGCATGAATAAATTATGTAAAGTTTAATAATTCGTATTAGTTATTACTTTCTATATATTCTATATAAAATAATGCATAGATTCTTTCGTAACTTATATACCAATCAGTTATACCTAGCAAAAAAATATTACAAAATATGGTACTATTACTTTAACTATTAATTGTAAATTATACGAAAAAGTTAGTTAACAAATAACAATAGAAAGTTGTAAACCTTATCTTATACTTTTTTTTTGTTTTAATAAATCTATAGGCTCAATTAACCTTAACACTAAAAAATATTAAGACGTGTTAATTTGTTTTAAATTTTTTAAATTACCTAATCTTATATTTTTACATCTTTGAAGAAGAAATCAAGATTAGAATACAAGTCAGATGAGTGAGTGCCATAAGTTCCCCAAGCATGCACCTATAATTAATTATGTTAATTTGCGATTATATTAATATATAAAAGGTTATATCAACATAATAAACTATATTAATCACAACTGTTAATTACTTGTTGTTTAAGTTAGGCATAATACATAAATGTGCCCTTCAACTTCACCTCATTTTATATTTATGTGCAATGACCCGAACCGTCGTTAATTAGGAAAGGAAAAACGTCGAGAAGACTGGACCCATCATCTCGACAGAGCAGGACAGGTCCCGCTAGGGCGGCGGGGCTCCTGCGGGTTAGGGATCCCCAGAGCGGGACATGTTCCACTACGGCGGCAGGGCTCCAGCGGGATAGGGAGCGCCAGAGCGGCAATGTCGGAGACAACTTAAATGACGCGAAGCCTTATTTTAATTTCTCCTTTTTCCCAAAACACCAAAAAGAGGTGAGGATCACCCCAGAAACCCTCAAAAGGCTGCTCTAGGCTTGGGAAAGAAGGAGGAAGAGATTTCTAGTGCAAGGGTGACGATAACTTGCGGATTCTCGGCCAAATCCACCGTCTCGAGGTCCGGAACCCAGGATCGGAGATATAATCCCATGCAGCTGCTTGGCACCCAGGTAGGGTGAACAGTATCCATAGTCTTACCATCTTTAGAGTCCATTTTGGGCATAGATGGTCCAATTTAAAGGAATTAAGCTAAAAAAAATTTAACTCTTTTGTGTGTTATCCCATGAATTTTTTTGGTGATACGACCTCCGGATGAATTATTTGCGAAACTTTTACAGAACCCTCCATAGGGAGTTGGGTAAGAAGTATGCATAGTCTTACCATTTTCAGAGTTCATTTTGGGCATTTAGGGGTCAATTTACAAGAAGTAGGCAATTTTTTTAGTTTTTTGTGTGTGTTGGCCCATGAATATTTTGGTGATACGGCTTCTGGACGGTTTCCTTGTGAAACCTTTACGGGACCCTCCGTAAGGAGTTGGACAAGCAGTAAGTATAGCCTCACCATTTTCATAGTCCATTTTGGGCATTTAGGGGCCAATTTACATGAATTAGGCGATTTTCTCTTCTTCTTTTTTCCGTGTGTGTTAGCCCATGAGTATTTTAGCTATACGACATCCAAATGATTTCTTTGCGAAACATTTATGGAACCCTCCGTAGGGAGTTGGGGGAGTAGGAAATACAGTCTTACCATTTTCAAAGTCTATTTTGGGCATTTAGGGGTCAATTTACAAGAATCAGGTGGTTTTCTATGTTTTTCGTATGTGTTAGCCCATAAATACTGTGGTGATACAACTTCCACTTAGAGTCTATTTGGGGAATTTAGGGGTGATTTCACAAGAATTAAGCGATTTTTTCAGTTTTTCGTGTGTTAGATAATGAATTTTTTTGGTTATACGACTTCCGGATGATTTCTTTCCGAAATCTATATTTCATGATTTAGCGTAAATACGGGTAAAAATAATTATTCAAGCTCAATTAGTTACTTACAAATTATTTTAATCTTCGGTAAAAAAGTTTCCTTCAAACCAATAAGAAACTATAAAATGACATAGTATAATTTTATGTTGAATGAAAATGTTCTTTTGGGGGAACTTCCGACTCACCATTTTTCTAGAGTTAGTTTCATTACATAATATTTATCTTGGAGGAGTTACATGCTGAAATATTAATTATAACTCAATGGACTTGAATTTTTTTTAGTGAAAATGAGATATACATGTCTCAATTTAAATATTTATTTATTCATTTTATTTTTCAACCGTAATTGATAATGTTTTCACCGAATACTTTTTATATATCCAAGTTGAGGTGCCTAGTTAGTTTGAAATCCATGATTATAAGAGGCAGCTAATACAATTTATTTACTCACCTTGTTAAGAGGAAATAGCTTATATATTCAATAATATTCTTTCCATCTATCTACAATTACGCTATAGTTGACAACTTGACACTTCTGTTCAAATTTATTTACACATCTTGTTTTATATGTTTCATTAGAATTTAAAATTTCAAAGACATTTTGTAGATTTACTTTTTAGGAAAATAATTTAATAATTTAGCAATATTGTTATGCTAATTCATCAAGCGTCTACAAATCTTTGACTAGGGCAAAATGATCTCTGAAAGGCCTTTTTATATTGTTTTTCATGTATTTACTTTTAAAAAAATAATTTGTCATTTTTGGAGAAGAGAAAAGAAAAATTATAATATAAAATACAATTAGTAAGAAATTCTATTCAAAGTGACCAGATTAATTGTATTTTTTTAAACAATAAGACTAAATTAAGTAGAATATATATATAAGATAAATAAAATAAATTGCATTGACTAGATTTTTTTAGAAAAATAATCTATGTTATCTTGAAGAAAGAAAAGGAAAATTATAAAATAAAAAGATTTTTTAGTAAGAAATTGACCAGATTCATTGTATTTTCTAGACCATAAGAATAAATTAAGTAGAATATATTAATAATGGAAAGAAAATTAATTGCATTGACCAGATTTCTTTAATTCAGATGATACTTGACTAGCTATAAATAGGACCTTCTAAGTAAATAGGGTACACCCAAATGAAGGAAGTGATAGGTGAATAGATCGGTAGGGTGAATGTAGAGAAGCTGAGTTGCTTTTCAAAGAATTGAAACTTTGAAATGAAAATTCACACTTCTAGAGCCACTGTCGGAATTATCGATAAAGCACCTCATTCTTTGAAGGAAAAGTTTTCCTCGGGGAACGGTTCATAATAATATTTATCAATATTTCCTATAGTGGCTCCAGTGGTGCGAAGTTTCATTTTGAAGTTCCAATTCTTTGGCAACCAGTTCGGCCTCTCTACATTCATATCTTTGCCTATTTATTCATCTGTCGCATATGCATAAAGATATTGACATTAATAGAAGGTGCTAAGTATCTTCAAAACTATCTGTTTGCTAAAGTAAAAAAGGAGTACTAACTTTCTTTATTTTTGAATTGCTCATTTTATTATATTGTCAATTTTTATTTATGCTCGTTAAGTAAAATTTTATACATAAATCAATGAGCTATTTTATATATGCTAGCCTTTTAACTTGTATTATGAACTAGACACCTCATCCCAAACAAAAAATAATTTTTAAATGTGTTTGATGCTGATTATGCCATCAAGAGTCATGACGTTTGTCTGAAATATACAATATTCATGTTCTTGCAATTATTAGAATCATTAATTAGGTGAAATAATCTCTCCAACAACTAAACAAAGTAACAATTAAATTTTTTTCATCGAACGTTAAAATAAGTGCATGCAATAACCATAAAGAGATTTGATTATACACAATGATTTGTTTCTATCTTTGGTGAGTTTATTATGTACTAATTATTGTCACCTATATATGATCGAAGCAACATCCAATGTTAGCTTGACAATGACAATAATATTGATGTTCATGAACATTTCACAATAAAAAGGGAGCTAGAATTTGAACTTTATAGATTCTTCCTGGCCAAGATTCTGCTTCTTTCGCGCAATGAAAGATTAAATCGTCTTATGATGTGCCAATGCTCATGTATGAATTTCGTTAGAAAGATGATGAGAGCCAAAACTGCAGCAATTACAGCCATGACAAAGAGTCCCCAGAAGCTATCTAGGCCAAGACTGTTGGAGGAGAGTGATGTACTAGAATCGGAACAAGTAGATTCTCCAAACCATGCTCTCTCTATTTGTACCATCTTTTCACCTTCTGTCACATTCAAAACTGCTCTCGAAACATCAGGTACTAGAGGAGATCCTATCGGGAAGGCCTGGATGAAAATCACAAGAACGGTGAATATAATTCATAACTTTACTGTTACCAAAAGAAACTTTCTTGATCGAAAAAGGTGAGGTGATAGAGTATAAAGCTAATACGTTCTACTGAATCTAACATTTTCAACATCGTACATATATATATGTGGAGTACTATACATTGACATTTTAAATTTGCCTCTGCTTGTGATTCTTGTACTAAAAAAAGGAAAGAATATCGAGAAAAAAGAAGAGTTACTTACAAATCCAAAGCCATGAGTCTTATACGTAGGTCCAATCGTGGCAAATTTCAAGCAATAATTTGCAAGGAAAAGCTTCACATAAGGAATCTCATCGAAAACAGCAGCAATACCACCATTTGAACTTCCTTTAGCGAGTAAATCAACGCATTCCTCTGGAGTGTTATATGCCTTAAGCCTGTCCTCATCAAAGTTCATTTTTCTTAATAGTCCTACTACAAAAAGAACCTGGTCGGTAGCCCACATAGTCCTTGCTCTTTAGAAGTTCTTTTACATCTTTAACAGTTGGCTGGAGTTTTTCAACTGTTAACATTGATGTAAGATTTGCTGTGTAGCTTGAAGTCAATATGAGTACTACTAGGAACCAGACGATCAACACAAACCTCGCCAAATTGCTTACTATCCCCTCCTCTGGCGATATCAAGAATCAAAACAAAGCATACGTTATATATAACAAAAGGTAATTCAAATTGAAGAGTGTGTGTATGTGTGTGTGAGTGTATGTGTATACTCCGTGTAACGACTCATTTGGTCGTTTTGAGTACTAGAGCTTTTTATTTCATGAAATACTTTCTCATAGATTCTAAATGGGTATTTTGGACTATTCGTAACGACAATTATGAAATTAGTGGGGTAGTTTTAATAATTAATCTAGTTGGTGCTTAAAGAAGATACCATTTAAAATTAATAGTGGGTCGCTTTTACACTTTCATAATTAGTCATATAATAATTAGGGTAATAATTAATCTGTAGAACAAAAGAAAAGAGGAGAAGAGGGGAATAACGGAAAGTGGTGTTGAACGAAGGAAAATTACGGGGGACTTCAGGTGAGAATTCTCTTCATTTTTTTCTAGTTACACGTATTAATTATATGTAGGTGATTGAATTGTGATTAGTTTTCTGATTGGTGATGTAAGGAAATTATGTAGTGCAAGTGTAGGGATAGAGGTGTGAATTATTATTCATAGGTTAGTGGGGGAGGTTTTTGGAGAACAAAGTAGAAGTGTTAATCAATTTGAGTTCATTATATTAAATAGAAGTGTGTTCACGGTTTGGTTTCGTAACCAAGTGCTTGGAAATTCTCATATTACTAAATTGTTATTAGAGAATTGAATTTTCCTAAATTCTATTTGTAATCTGTACTGCTAATGATGGGAAATTAATTCAAGGATGGGGTTGAGATTAGTAGTCTTGTGAAGTTGTAGCGATGGGTAGAGTAGGTGTTGGGTTGACATATGTGTATTAATTAATATATGTAATGCTTATTTTTTCCATATATGAAAATAAATTGCAATTTGAAAGATGCTCCTGGGTAGCGTGATTTATACAATATGATGGGTTAGGTAACTAAATAAGGGTGTTGTATTATATAAAATGCACTAGAGTTATGTTATTTTGAGGAATTAAGACTTAACCCTAGACTTGAAATTTAGGAAATACGAAGTTGACATATTAGTTGACATAAAAATTTAAGAAAGTGATTATAGTAATATGGATACCTATAGACTTGTTTACTTATGAATTATGCATGTTTAATAGATTGTAAACGTTCGGAGGCATTGAGGAAAGGGAACGCTTTGGAAAATTAGTTTGCTCGACTTTGATTCCTTGGTGGAGGTAGGTTATGGTTTATTCTATGTGATAGATAGACTCTTAATAGTGATTGATAGTCATGGACTGATAATGAGAATTTTTCTATGTATTTGGTTGTTGTGATTGGTCTGCAATCCCAAGACCGTGAATCCATAATCTTGAACCTTCTCTATCGAAGTGATGCCTTGAATAAAGAAGCCTTGATGAAATATTGTTAATGAAGTGAAAAGTGGTGATAATAAATGATAAATTAACAATATTATTGGATCGGGTGTCATGTTTCGACATGGTATTATTAGATTAGGTGTCACGTTCCGAAACGGTAGTATTGGATCGGGTGTCACGTTCCGACACAGTATTATTGGATAGGGTGTCACATTCCAACACGGTAACATTAAAGAGGAAAACATATTGAATTAACTGAATGTACTCAATCTCAAAGAACCCATTTCCCAAATGAGCATGGTGTGGAGGCATGAGTCCTCGTCTGTGTGCTTGATATTGTGATTGATTACGTACTTGCTTCAGTTGTCACTTGTTCATGTTGTTTGTTGCTTATCACCTACTAAGTTCTATAGTTGATTTTATACTATTACTTTATGCATATTAGTTACTATTTTGAGTCGGCCGATGATATCTACTCAGTACATATTCCCCTGTACTGAGCCCTACTTGTGTTTTTCTTTGTTTTCATTTTGTGGAGTGTAGAGAGTGTACCAATGACTTCGACTCGCCCTCATCTCTAGCCAGTCTCCAGCACATCAGGTTTCAGGGTAAGCTATTCATTCGAGCTCATGTTGGATTCTCTCGTTCATGGCATGATATCCTTAGTTTTCAGACAAAAACTATTTTATTCATTTATTTTGGTGTCTTTGATACTCTTAGACTTAGTATTGGAAGATTAGATATCCTTGATGTGATGACTTTCAGGTTTTGGGGATAATATGTAATAGACTTTAGAGGTTTATTTTATTGGTTACTTTAATAAGTTTTGAGCTTCCGCATTATGGTTGTTATCTATGGTTGAAGAATCGATATAAGTTGGGGTTGAATTGGTTGGTTCGCCCACCTAGGAGGTTAAGTGCGGGTTCCATTCATGACTCGTTTTGGGTCGTGACACTCCCTCTGTCTCATTTTAAATGGCTATGCTTGACTAGACATGAAGTTTAAGAAAGAAAGACTTCTGGTACATACCAAAAGTGATAAATTATGCTCTTAGAAGCATATCATGACATTTCTTATGTCGATGAGAACATTGTCATTAAAGGCAATATGGGAAGTACCAATGAGTGTTATCAAAAGCAAAAAGCTCTAAGGTGCGTAGGGCTTTAAGTTTGAGCCTCACTTCAGGGCTTAAGCGTGCCTTTGATAAGATTGATACTAATTCAAGAGGAGGAAAGGGAAATTACTCTGTGCAAAGACCATAGTTGAGAAGGAGAACCAAAAGATCATTCCAACTTGATGCCAAAAAGGTCCTCTAAAGTTTTCATTTACTCTATGTTCGAGTAGACAAATGACGAAGCCTATGAAAACAAAAGAACAAAAGTTTGTTAACCAAAGCTCTCAAGTCAATGGCTTCAAAAATACCCATGCACTATCTCTATTATCATCTTTGATTGGCACCATCATCGTAACTCCAGACTCTGTGTATGGTAATGTAAAGTCAACAAATTGTGACCTATTCGAGACAATGGTAGTATCCCCTACAATAACATCAAAGTTATGTTCATCTGTTAATCTTTGTAACATGTAAGAATCATCGAAGTATACAAGTGCAATAGATATTTCCCTATAAGATTCGTCCAATTTTTTTTAGTTCAGTATATGGAGCTCAATCGTTTTTCCTTCTATAGGCGTGTTGCTATGTAGTATAACATTTACATTATCAAGTCACCTAAATAGTAATAACCTGAAAAATAAGGTGAGTTACCTTTACAACATGTTTAAAAGACACTGTTAACGGTAACATCTCTTCGTATTGTCAGTATATATAACTTAAAAGTCGATATTAGAGGCGTCAGAGAAATTTACCCCAACAAATACTTGATAAACTAGTTCATTATAATCACCGAAACTTTTTCCATCAGGAGCAGCAAAAGGAACATATTCATAAGGAACAAAATATGCTAATGCTTCCATCACTGCATCAAAAACATTGATGCAATATCCAGTAACTATCGTTGTGTTAGTTGTAAGACTCTTGTAACTTTCCCAAACTTGGTGAAACCATCCTTCACCGGAACTCCAATTCTCTATTTCTTTCCATTTGTTGGTAACACCCAACCTTTAGGAACAGAAGTGGTGTCACCAGTGCTGGAATTGATACATTCACACCTTGATGTTTAGTCTTTCAATATTGTCTCTTAGTTTTTCAAGAAGTTTTTTAGGATTTTATAATACATGTATCTAGTAAGTTGTGATACATGTATCTAGTTAATTGGGCAAGAATTTTTATTTTCTATTTTGAGTAGTATAAATAGTGATGTAGTTGATGATTGTAATCATCTCAAGTGGCCTTAAGTAGCCTATATAAAACTTGAGCATTCTCTAAAGATAGTATTCTCCTTCTATATTTCCTACAAATTGGTATCAAGAGCAGGTTTTCGTTCTTAATCTGGGGTTAGGTGAAGAAACAAAATATGGCATCCAAAACAAATGAAGGTGTTAATTCTTCAGTTGTTCTTACTCCATTTTTTTATGGAACTGATTTTGAATACTGGAAGATAAGAATGAGAACATATCTAAAAGCTGAATGTTTGTGGACTATTGTTGTAAATGGCTATGAAGAGCCAAAAAACGATGGTGAGCTTTCAGTAACAGAGATGAAAAATCTTGAGGCTAAGTATCGTCAAGATACAAAAGCCTTGAGCAAAATCCAAATGGGAGTCTCAAGAGCATATTTTGCGAAAATTGCTACTTGTGAGACTACAAAGGAAGCTTGGGAGTCTCTAGAAATGGAGGTGTATGGTGATGAAAAGGTACGCACTATAAATCTTCAAACTCTTAGAAGAGAGTTTCAAAACATGAAGATGATAGAATTTGAAAAAATAGATGAATATTGCACAAGAGTCATGAATATTGTTAATGAAATGAGAAATCACGGTGATACAATTTCTGACCAACAAGTTGTGGAAAAGATTCTAATTAGTATCACAGAAAAGTATGAGTACATTGTTCCTATCACTGAGGAGACAAAAAATCTTTCTAAGCTTTCCATCAAAGAGCCTAGTTGGATCATTTCGTGCACACGAGAAGCAAAGATTTTTTCGTGAAGATCAACCCAAAGAGATAGCTTTCCAGTCCAGAACGAATGAGAATTCTCAAAATTTCTCAAAAAATCAACAAAAGAAGAAATACAATCCAAAAAACAAGCAGGATCATGATGATTCTTCTAAGAAGATTGAAGAAAAAGGTGAGAAAAGTACTAGTCTTTTTTGTAAAATTTGCAAAAGGACTAATCACAATGCAGAAAAATATTGGTACAAAGGAAAGCCCCAATGTAACTTTTGTAAAAAAATTGGCCACATTGAGAATGATTGTTGGCACAAGCAACAGGAGCAAACAAATTTATGTGAAGAACATGAGGGAGAAATGGAAGAAAATCTTTTCTTTGCTTCTCAATGT